AACTCTTGAAGTGTTTCTTTGTGTAGTTTATTTTTTTTCAAATATTTTGTTACGAATTCAGTTTAAATCCAAATTATTTTCTAGACCTACTATTATCATCATATAAACATGATGTTTGGACTCTATATTTTTAATTCTTACATTAATGGTGCAATAGTGTACGTTTTATTGAATACATCATGCGACCTCAATCTTTTACACGATTTCAAAATTTCTGTTAACTTATCCCGCTGTGTATTCTATACGTAGGGCTATCATCCGTCCGGATTTTCTCGGATTTGTCCTAGTTTTGAAGGCGTCAGGGAGCGTCCGAGCAGGTTTTTCGAAGTGGTCCGGATTTTGTATAGTTTTTCATTGTACTCGTATTATTATTATTAAATAACAACTACGCAAGTTGTCATGATTTAATATAAAATTTTAATATATATTTTCTGTTTATAATTGATGCAATTTAAAGATTTCACATATTTTTTGAAAAAAATTATTATTATATACTTTTTCATAGTTTGGAATACTTTCAACGTTTGGACGTTTGGAATAGGTTTGAAATAGAAAGTCATTATTTTTCTTCAAGGAGGCACATACAAGCGCGTATAATAATTTATGTAGGTTTTTTTCTGAGAGGAGCATGCACATTTGGCACCTTTTTTTACCTTGTTTTAAAAAGGTAAATTTTAGTTATGATTAATAAATATACTTCGTAACTATTTGAACTTTCGTTTTTATTTGTGAAAATACTTTTAGGTATAAAAATGTTAAATATTATATTAAATAAACAAAATTTACGATGAAAAAATTAATATTAACATAAAAAAAATGTTCGGGTTTTAGTTGTAAAATCCGGGGATTTGAAGCTCATTGTCTTAGATTAGTGATTTTACAGATGGCAGCCCTACCTATACGTAATTATTTTCTTTACGGAAAGAACCGAGAAGCAAACGTAGTGGGTTTTACGAACACGCGTGAATTTTTCCAAAATCAATTTTTCTACTCTTGAGAAAAAAAAACCGAAAAAATCCGCGGAAAAATTGGGTTTTTTCCGATCCTTTAAAACCATACAAAAAACTGTACACAACAGATCAGCTGGGACGTTACGTCGAACAGCTGATTGGGGGGACAGTTTTTCTACGATAGAAAAGCCGGATCGGAGAAGAAAAACCGTGTCATTTGAACGCAACTTTAAAGGGAATGTAAGTCGAATATTTAATTCCGTTCTTCCGCTCGTGAATGTTGCAGGCCTTCGAGGTCAGGTCGAGGCCGAATGGAATCGCTAGATCAGAGCTTCGACACCTTCGGCACGGCTGGCATAATGGACGGCACGGACACGTGGTTGCCGCGTATCATGGACAATGCCACGCATAGCACTATTGTCGACGCGGAATTATCGAGGTATGTTCTTTTTAGAAGCATATATACAGTCTTATATAGAATCTCTAATGCTGATTCTACAACGAGTGCAGTCGGAAGTCTTTACTCTTAGGTTCAGTTTCACAATTTACGATTAACTCTTAATTGAGGTTCATCTTATTTCTCATCTCTTTTTTTCAATTCTAAAATTAGATATTTTTAGTTCTAGAAAGAGATAAGGAATAAGTTAAACCTCGGTTAAGAATTGTGAAACTGGGCCTTAATCGATGAAGTTAGTCAACGATAAAGATTTAGGACTACTGTCTACTGACTCATTGTAGAATCAGCATAATTCTTCAATATTTCGATTTTTCATACATTCTTTGGTTGTCTTGAAATCGACTTTATTTCAAAGTTACGAAGTGGTGTAATTAAATTTGTGAATTAATTGTGTGAATTAAATTTAAAATAATGAAAATAATCTTGATTTTTATTTCAAACTTGTGGAATTTGTGCGCGGTACATTTATATTATCTTAATTTTGAATTTAAATCAATCATTGATTTTAATTTTCTAAAGTTATTTGTTATTATTTATAATTATAAACTTAATTGTATTAATTATATAAATTTTTAATTATATACATATATAATTGTTACTTATCAATGTATGTATAGTTATGTGGAGAAATGGCTATTCTGATGATTATTTTATCTACCGCAGATTTCCAAAGCCCTTGAGAACCTTTGCAGCGGTAGTGGCAATCATCATCATGATTATCGGTTTAGCCGGTAATCTACTAACGATCGTGGCGTTATGTAAATATCCTAAAGTTCGCAATGTTGCAGCGGCCTTTATTATAAGGTATGATAAACAAGTCTACATACATGACTTTGTTATCAAAATTATTTACTTATAAATTTACTTTATAATAAATAGCTTGTTCACACACATATTGAAGAAGCTTTTGTACTACACCTTGTGTTCATCATTATCTCGTATAAATATATCGCGTCATTCTAAAAGAAATTGGCTCCTAAATTCTAGCATTTTTTTAAAACGGAACTTTCTCTAACGTTCACGTCGATTAAAATGAAATTTTTATTACTGAAACAGCTTATGCATCGCGGACTTTGTGTTCTGTCTGCTGGTGCTGCCGTTCGATTCAATCAGATTCATCAACGCCAGTTGGGCAGACATTCGATTCTTCTGCATTTTTGTACCCTTTTTGCGGTACGGAAATGTCGGGGTCAGTCTCCTGTCTGTCGCAGCAATCACTATTAATAGGTGCGTGTGCTTTTTTTTAAATCTTCTTAACTCTTTACAGTTGAACTGCCTGATCCAGTTAAAAAATTTTCTTCGATTCGATCGAGTTTAAAGAATTATTATTTATAATTCAATCTTTTGATTTTATAGGTATATTATGATAGCGCATCACGATATTTATAGCAAGGTTTACACGAAGTATTGGATAGCCACAATGATAATCTTTTGCTGGATCTTCTCTTATGGGATGCAGATACCTACGCTGGCAGGAGTGTGGGGTGAGTCGCTATTTTATTATTTAATTATTCATAATTGAAGCGTTCAACGGTAAAAACTTGCTAAAAGCGGTAAAGTTGCAAATATTCCAAGAATAAATAAAAAAATATTATTTAATTATTTGGCAGAATAATTAATAAGACTGTTACATTAAATACTTAATATACTGATATAAAGATGATTTTTCATAATTAAATAAGAAATTAAATATATCATATTCCTGCCTCTTGTATGTAAATATTTTTTTATTTTACATATATATATTGAATATTCTTTTTAAATGTATATTTGTTATATTTTGCTTTATTATTCATCACTCATTTGTACTCTATCAGGTAAATTCGATTACGATTCCAATTTGGAGACCTGCTCCATCGTCAAGGATCGTCGTGGTTACACTTCTAAGACATTCCTTTTCGTTATGGGATTTCTGATACCCTGCTTAGTGATTGTTGGCTGTTACGCTAAGATATTTTGGGTGGTGCACAAGTAATTTGACATTTCCGATTTACACGTTTATAAATAATCTTTACCGTTGATTATACTGCATTAATTAAAATTTAATCACCATTCTAGATCAGAATCGCGATTGCGAAAACATGCTGGACCGACGATAAAGTCACCTCATACGCCCGGAAGGGATATCAGGGAACTCAAACAGAAGCGCAGCGAATGGAGACTCACAAAGATGGTATTAGTAATCTTTCTCAGCTTCCTCGCGTGCTATTTACCAATCACCATTGTCAAGGTGGCCGATGCGGAAGTCAGATGTCCCGGTAAGAATTATTATTTATAGCGCATTATTTCCGAATGAAATAACATTTTACATTCTCATCTTCATTTATCGCAGCATTGCCTATATAATATACGTTCAGTTTTTATCAGTTTTCATTTCTCTTCTTATCGTTTTGAAAATTACAGCTTACACGATTATTATTTTAAATAATAAATTCGTTAAAAAGAAATTTGTTGAAATCGTATCGTCATTTTAGATTATTATTTAGCGTCGTTCCGTCAAATTGTTTCAGAGTGTCACATTCTGGGATACTTGCTATTGTACTTCGCTTCATGCGTGAATCCAATCATCTACGTGATCATGAATAAGCAGTACAGGCAAGCGTACGCCGGTGTGATCGGCTGCAAATGGATAAGGGCGACCTTAACGCCGTACGGCAGCAGTGCGCCGGGTGGTGCCGGCGGTCTCCAGGCCCATCAGCATGACTACGTCCAAGGTAACTTCGAGCAACGACACGCGGTAACGCTCACCAAGCTCTGACCGAGCGCGCGAGCCTAAGCGACCACTCGCTCACTTCGTAAGTCAAGGGCACCACAAGTTTGCTGCTTTCTGTTTTGATCGTCACTTTGGTACCACTGACCAGTCTGTGTGTATATTTATATATGTGCTAATGTCAATTAATCGCAATTCCTAATTACTGATTTTCTTCTACGCTCTGCATGTTCTTAATTCCACTTTTCGTAAAATCGAGACGAGCAAGCGACGTCAAATTGTCGCAATCATCATCGGATGCTTCTGCACCTTCAATCATAGTTATAATTAATCATTAATAATGTGCTAACACACAAAAACACCTCAAGTTTTTTTTATCGCAATTCGCTGAATTTATTATTGACTCAGTTTGACTAAATGTAGTTCTAATCTTCACCGCTCACTCTTTTTTAATTAACTAAAATTAAATTATATTAATATCTATAGAAAATTACGGAACTTAATTCAAAATTTAGAAGAAAGAGTATTTTATCCTCTTATGATTTTCACGAGTTATAAAATATATAAATGTCATATAAAACAGCGTTGTTTAATTTCATTGTTCTTTAAATACATATTTTGCTTCAATAACATATACTATTATATTATACAAAATATAAATTTGTAACTATTTAAAAATAATTTACTTTATTATCGTCTCTCTGTCAAGTGCTTGTATTTGTGTATTCCATGCAACTGCGAGTATTTTCATTAATATTAATTGAAATGCAATTGTACTTTATTCCTCTGCTAGACTACTCAAAGGACTTCAGCAAAACGATGGTATCGACGGTCTCTATCGCTATGAATCCCGTGAGAAGTTCGCAATTCCAGGAGGAGCTGTGAGGCGAACGTCGAGAAAAATGGAAAAAGACAAAAGACGTTTCCCGTTTCAAAAGGAAAAAATGGAAGATGAGAAGAAAAAGAAATAAATTGTTATTGATAACCGTGCAATAGTTATCAAGTTAGTTCGCATAATTTTTTTTACCTCGTAATATAATAAGAAAATAAAATAATTCATAAATTATTTTTTCGTTAAAGAGTGAAATAATACGAATGTCGAATATGTTGCGTAGGTTTTTAATTTTTGAGACATTCGAGGAATAGTTATACTTTCTACTGGATAATGACTTTTACCAAAGATTGTCATGTGTCATTGTATTTTATAATAAAATATAAACTTTGTATTGTCTTTTATTTACATGATTATTAATATAATAATTCTTAAGCGAAAATTGTGGTAAAAAGATAGACTATTGTAATAATAGTTTACGTTAGAATAAAATTATGAACAAAAATATGCTAGGATTTTTAATTTTTAATAAACGATTTGTTTCCTTTATAGAACTTAATATTGTTCTTTTATTTCAAAAGTAATACAATTCAAAAAATCAAGCTTTTTTAAGAAAGAGGAAAAACTATTTTTTAACTTAACAAAAAATTATTGATTAATATCTCAAAGAATCTTGTTATTCGAGTCAATCTGTAGATCGAGTTTCGTATTTTCATTGTATCGAATAGAACGGCATTTAAACATTGTTTATTATTAAATTATATTAATTTAATAAAAATTAATTTTGAAATAATTAATGTATTCTATTAGTTTATAATTATTCGTAAAAATATCAATTTATAATTAAGAACACAGTTTGTTTCGCAAGATTTGGTTTACTGCCGAGTAAGCCACTTCTTGGGATTCTCAACTGTTATCAGTATCATTTCTTCCGTCGTGAAACCCTTGTTTATCATGATTGGCACAACATTATTAGCAATATGAGAGTATCCATGTCCGCCAAAATGTATCTTAAAAGTCAACAAAGTGTTTTCAAGTGTCTAGTCTGGGATCAGGGAAACATTAATTTATAAAATTATATGAAAAACGGAAAATATTAGAGAGATGCGTACCAGGCGATGTTTGGTGTGTATATCATGACTCATGAGAACTCGGTCTAGTTTTTTCTCTTTCTTCAGCAGCGCAATACGTTTGACACGCTGTGCATCTGACAGATAATCGACCAACGGATTCAACTGATAGAAAGAGCATTCCATACCGAACAGGTCGAACTGGATATAACATTTGGTAGCGTCGGCGAATTCCATGAGCTGCTCCTTTTTTATTAACGTACCTATCAAATTAATTTAATTAATCGTGGTGATACATTCAAATGGATATCTAAATTAAAAGTTAAAAATTGATGAAAAAAGAAAAAAGTTGTAACTCTCTTACGATCGACGTGAGACATAATAGCTCTGCTCATATCTCCACCCGCCTCTTGATAGATCCTCATTATTTCCATGGGCGCAGATGCATTCCTTCCAGGATGAAAGCTTACAGAGCAACGTAACTGAGCTTGCACCTCGGCAGTTGCGCAAATGGCACGTTTTTCAAAGTCTAATAGACATATTTTATAATATTTTAGTATATTATATATATATATAAAATTTAATATAATAATATATGTAATATCTTGATACAAGTTTTGCTGAAAGTATAGAATGATTCGCAATAAATCGATAATAATTACGAAAAACATTCGGCAACTGTTTAAGTACAATTGCGTGCATACCTTCGATCGGCCAAGTACTGCCAACTTCTCCAATGAATCCTGCCTTTACTTCGGGACACTCCACGCAACCCTCTTCTAACTCTTTGCATAGTAGATTGTACATTTCTTCTTTGGTCATATTAAGAGTCGATGCATTTTGAGTGCTGGCGAGGTAATGGCCTGTTTAAGTTGAGAAAATTTATAACAAATAATACAATAAAGTAATATAATAATGTATTATTATGATTTTAAATTATATTTTATTAAATAAAATTAATATTATTACATATAGCATACTATATACCGGTTCCCGCAATCACGTTAACTCCCAAGGACTGGCTGATGTTCTTCATTAAAGAAATATCACGTTTCAAACCGTGGCTACTGTTCTCCACGATAGTTCCGCCACCGGCCTCTTTAAATAATTCCACATCTTTATAGACAGCTTTTGTCGCGTCATCACCGTAAAACTCCAAGTTATATAAGCTGCTATATCTAATGCAAAACAATTAAATCCATATTTATCATCTTTAACATAATTTTTATTAATTTAATAATTTATTTATTGTATAAAAATTTTCATTTTATACGAAACGGACTATGAGTAATATGATATATATTTTCGAATCTAAAGCGAGACTATTTTATTAAACGGGGAGAGAGAAGGTAATTTAAAAGGAGGGTATTCCAATTAAACTTACGGATACTGCCGAACGTATCCGGCATCTTGGAGAGATAAGCTGCCGACAGGGAACCGTTTAAGATGTTTCGGCGGTGGTACATAAAATTTGCGAAAATCAAGAGCCAGATGTTCATGTGTTAACGTTTTCCCGAGCTCGGATAATCGTTTATTTCCTAGCACTGTACCGGAAAATATAAGAACTTAAGTTGCATTATCCAAATCTAATACAATAAAAATAAAAAAAAGAAATTTTTTGCTCAAGTATTTAACTTTGTCATTTCGCTTCTTAATTTGCTTTACTTAAAATATAATTTCTTCCCTATCTAATTTACTTATCTTCTTTTTTACTTAATATACGCTTACCCGTATTCACGCCATCTGGAAAGTTGTCGGTCATTATTATTATTCTTTATTTCCGTTATGAATAAAGAGCTCAATTTAATCCTTATCCTGCAGTTTGCGAATTGAAAGAATGCAATTAAACGCGCGTTCTAAAGGCCGTCACACGTACAAAAATTTTAGTCGAAATCGTAAGGTCACAAGCAAATCGACCAATCACAATCAAAATTAAGATCTCGCGTTTTTAAACGCTTGACTGTGATTGGTCGATTTGCTTGCGGCCTTACGCTTACGACTAAAATTTTTGTACGTGTAATGGCCTTCACGCATTCTACAATAAACCATTAGTCATAAATCAGAAGTTAGAAGCTGGAAATTGACGACTGTGATTGGTCAATTTCCAGCTTCTAACTTCTTATTTATGACTAATGGCTTATTAGAATGCGTGTTAAACTTCCATAAGTTTAAAATTGTTCGCGTACACTACTCCCTACAAGCTACGATTCAACACTGTATAACTTTAACTACTGCGACGCATAACCTATACTTTCCTTCTAATCGACCTAACTCAATCTGGAAACGCTCATTATCTCTATGCGATCGGCGCTATTCTTAAATGTCTCTGTACTCTTAAATGCCTGATAAAATATTATCGGGGTTACAGCGAATAGAACTTACTAAAAATGTGTACGTAAGCTTGTGTGTTATCGTAATTTACAAGCAAAAATAACAATATTTGCAAAACGTTACGTCTTCTATCTTTATTGCATTTCAGACGTAATGAAGAAAAAATTAAAAAATCACACATTAATTTTTTACTGCTTGTAATAAAAACTATGTTTCAAATTAATTTCATTTAACGAAAAAAATCACAATTAATTAGTTATTGTTTATTTTTAATTATATTCAAAATTTAATAAACGTGACATATCAATTTATAAATATTATTATATTAGCATGGCTGAGAAAAATGATATAACGGCACCTTCCATTTACCTTTTTGGTTACTTTTAATAAATATTAGCATTTTAGATTATTAATTTAAATATAATTAAAAGAATAACCACGATAAGTCTCGTCGTAATTATTTTTTATCCATTATTTATTATACATGTAAATTTATAAGAGGACATTATTGTTGGCATGGCGGATAAATGATAATAGCATCTTTTATTTTCATAGAATTTCAGAGAATTTGGAAAATTTTATTTAATTAAAAGAATAATTATTAATTAAGTTCATCATCTTATTTTCTGTAATTTATTTACGTAAATTTATAAAGGGTACATTGTAACGCGCGGTCAATAAATGATAATGACAATGGTTATCACATAAAGCAAATGTGACTATGATAATATGTATATAAATCTTTCAACGATACACTTTTGTAGCTTCGTTTTATCATTATATTACCACCGTGTTTGATGATCTCGCAATTATCTGTTCATGCACGTTGATTGATGTGTATTCTCAATTATAATTCTAAGATGATCGTTCATGCACGTGTATATATCGTTCTATTTGCAACACATAGATTTTTCGCGACTCGACGTGCCCTCGTGCCGTAATCGAATTGAGTCTCGTATACCGTTGTCGAATCTTGAACTTAGCACCTTGTCCACCAAATAGCGTATCGCTGTTTCTGCAAAGGATATTAAATTAAGACTGTTTTTCTTAAATTAAAATGAAAAAATTCCGAGATGTACAAATTATACATCATATATCGTATTAAAGAGCCATTTAAGAAAAGTCGAATGATGTATCTTGCGAAAACATTAAATCAAGACATCAAAATATTTCGGTAATTAATCGAAAACTATTAGTATTTAAACACGTATAACTTGATAAGTATTTAAGGCTAGAATTTGGTCATTTCTCCAGCATCCTTCTTTAGTAATAGAGAGAGTATACAAATTTTTTTATAGAAGTAAAACAATATATGTAAATTCTCACAATCGTAATCACTCTCTCTTTTGGATCCATATTTTTTAAAATATTATTAACAATTCAAAACATTAATAATAATGTTAATAATTATTACTTTTTTATGCAATAAATAAGATAACAATATCCTTTTTAAGGATATAAATACGGGAATGAGCAGAGAGTAAGCTGATCGTTCACCTACCGACGTTGGTGTTGTTTTTCGCGGAAGTCGCGTACCAAGCGTGTATCTTGTTCTCTCTGCAGAACTTGGAGATCTGCTCGTCGGTTACAGCGACCGATATGTCGCACTTATTCGCCAGGAGTACGACTGGTATACCTGAACCGTCTGGCAGCGCGACCTTCTCCCTGAGATCGTTCAGCCACTTCTTCATCGACTGGAAGGTCGCCGCGCGTGAGATGTCGAATACGAGAGCCGCGGCTACCCTACGTATAAATAAAAAATCAATGAGCGTGAGAGACAAATTAAAAAAAATAAATTAAATAATAACAAATAAAAAATATGGTTGAAATTTTTCAGATTGATCAGTCAAAAATAATGTTTACACATCTAATCTTAATTATTTCGATGAGTCATATCATACACTGTTAAATATGAAAGGAACAATGACAATCAGAAGAAAATCTCTTGAGTTAAATAACATTCTATTTTTAACTGTATGTGAAATGTAAGTCAATTCATTTCTGTGGTTTCAAAATAAACTTAACATCCTTGTTAACGTATGCCATAATAAATTAAATTTAAGTCAAATTTAATACATTTTCTTTGAGTTAAATTGTTTATTTCATTGTTTTAGTTAAATTAACGACTTATTGAGTAGCAACGACAACCTATAGAAATGATTAAAAATAACTCAAATTGGATATAATTTATATCCACGTTATATCAATTTAATAGTGTACTATTAAATTGGAGCCAAATATGTCTATTATATGATAATAAACGTATTTAATACAAAGAAACCAAACTAAAAGAAATAAAATTAATTCAAGCGGATAATAAAAGATACGTTAGTCATATTTACGCGTATTTATAATAGACCCTCGTCATGTATCCAAATCTCTCGTGACCAGCGATGTCCCTAAAATATACAAAATTAAATTGTCGTTTTCATAATTATATATTCTGCGGGATTAAAAATAATTTCGAGGGGTCGCAAAATACATGCGGGAGCCCTTGAAGACAATGAAATAGCAAGCAATATAAATTATGCGTCTACAAGTACCATAGCTGTAAGTTTATTTTAGTTTGCGGATCCCAATCGAGCGTTTTTATCGCAAAATCGGCGCCTATGGTAATCTTGTAATTCGAGGAGAACTTCCCTGGAAAAGACAGTTTCGAGAGTGTGCGCCGGTGACGTCCGGATTAATAGCGTCGTATCGCAGCTGCGGTGTTTGACGCACGTATCGTTAAAACGGATAAGCCGGCTCTTTCCCTTTTCTGAATGCACGCTCCCGCAATACCTATCCTTTCGCGACATGCGATCCACGACTATGATTGCGATTAAACGCATGTCAAACGTTTAAAGTTTTCGGGAATTTCTTGCGAAACAATTCTGGGCAAGAATTGCTAATTAACTTCGATAATATGGACAAGAGACAAATTGCAACAAATTACCTTCCGTGTATCTTCTGACCAGCGCAGTTTTGCCTAAAATAAATAATTTCTGTGAAAATCTAAATGGGAAAAGATTTTGCGTTAAATTCTGTGAGAGAACTGCAAGGGTACCGAAAAGGATTCGCACTAACTATATAGAAAATTAGGTCCGATGAAATAAACTAGTTTTCAAATATAATGTAGCTTATAATGTAAACAAAAAATATCATAGACACAAGATATAATAATGAATAGTTTTCGAGCTATGGTATATCAATTTGTTTTATAAGTTTTATACTTTTAATACATCTTTTGATAAAAAAATTACCTTTCAAATTTGTATTTCAAATAATGTAAGTTTATCAATTACGAATCTCGCCGTGACTCACCAACACCATAATCGCCAATGACGAGGAACTTAAAGAGGTGTTCCTTGTGACTGAAGTTGGACAGGACGACGTCCGAGTCTCTCCTAGACGCTCGCGGGGTCATGCTCGCCGTGTGATCCGTTCGTCTCATCGATTCGATCGCTTCAACAACACACTTCGCAAACCACTGGCGGATTCTTGTCGACGGTAATAAACGATAACAGAAGAAGACGAAAGAGACGGACGACCCCGCGGGTCGCGTCCACCGTCTCGCTCCCCTCTCAGGCAGTAGTTCGTATCGGCAATCATTTTCTCCGTTATCTCACCTCGCCGTAAACACGCTGTCGTCTTTCTTATGATTTTTATATACGCTACAAGCTTTTAACAAAATTAAAAAAAAATCTTTTCGCCGCGCGCAAGAAATCAATGTTAAATGTATTGGATAAATAGGTGAGGAGTGAGGTCGTCAATATAGTTTCGTAAAAAGTGCAGGCCTTTATTTTGCGCATACACCTCTTTGTAACGAGTAACACGGCAGCGATTGTTGGCTTCGATCGAACCTTCTCGGTTTCTGTATGGCGGCGGCTGGGTAAAAGCGAGCCAGACATCACATACATTTACGCGCGCGTATTGGTTTTCCTAAACTCTTTGGAAGATAGTTACGACTCCATTTCCGCTCGGCAATTAAACATACGTGGATCAAACAATAAATAACGATTAGACGCCGTTAATAAATAACGAGATTAGATGCAATATGTCGGATATATGCAAAAAGATCTCCACCCTCGCTCCCATTTTGTTCCCCGTCAAAGACGCAGGGATGAATGTGGAACTGGAAAGAGATGCGAAAAAGAGATAAATATAAATAAATAAATTGAAAAGGGATAGACATACAGTGTGAATACTAACTCTAAAATTTTAAGCGGTAATTCCCCACACAAATTCAAGACGAAAATTGCATATGCCCGAAACAATTTAGTTTCAAATCAAAGAGACAGAGTATTAACGTTGAAGGAAAAAGTTCTTTTCCAAAAATTTCGAAAACCACTCAGGTTATTTTGATGAAACTTTGAACATGCACAAACATACGTTATATGAAGTTTTTGTCTTAAATTTATGTGGGGAATCACCCTTTAAAATCGTGCAGAGGATTTAGTATCCATCCTGTATAAAGGAGCGGAAGAAACAGGATACGCGTATCTGCATCATACAGACGTATTTTTTTAGTCGACGACTTGTGTACAACTTATTTTTTTCTTTTTTCCGTGTGACGTCTTTCGTTTAATTACGTGTACAATATAAAATGTTACAGTCACGCGCGACAGATACCAGCGCACTAGGATCACAACTCAATTTGTTTAAAATTAAAAATAAACGTATATTATTTATATATACGCCGTTCCTCCTAATGCAACACGTTGAGATCTCTGTTCCAGCAAATTTGACGATATTCGAGGAGTAACGACACAATTTGCATTGTACACTTAATATCGATACGAAGACCGACGCCGTAAACATCATAAATTCTGTCCAGCACTATTAAGAATATAATCCGACGAGTATTTCTATATATATATATATATAGACATTTGCGAGGCGAGTTATGCTAAATTCCGGATATCAGATAGAGATCGAAAAACCGAATGTAATCGCGCGATTACTGAACCACCGAAATCGCAGTCGCGGTGTTTCGGATTCGTATGTTCGATCAACCGAGGGGATCTTCATGGCGAGAATTGCACGATCGTCTAGGGGCTGCTCTGACGCCGAGCAGCTAACGATACCTTCACAATCACTAAATCAACAATGATAATCATACAAATAATAATGGTAGCACTAATAGTAATAGTAATAATAGTAGTACACAGTAATAATAATTTACATTTACACAAGACTCTTCTTCCTTATTCGCGAACAATTAATCATATTACCTAACTATATACGACATGCTTACGGTTATATTCGTTCACCTTATCGCAACATGATACAGTCTCTACTCAACCGTAAATCTTTAATATCTCGTCGCAAATTAAATTGATCCTTCTCCTTCCTTCTTTATTATAATCAAGCCTGATTAAAGCCAATTCTTTTCGAGTTCTCGTCTCTGAATCACATTTGATTTAAAGCGACTTATTCGCGAAACGGGACGAGGTACAAGAAAGAGAGAGATGATTAAGAGCGCATGAAAAAATAGAAAAGATAATCAAACAATCGTAAAAAAATATACAGAGGCGAACGCGTAATATACAAGTCGATGGAGGATGCTACATACGAGTCTTCTATCTTTGCGAAGACATCGCATCCGTGAATATAAGAATCCACGAAATCATGCAAGATAAAAGGAAAATTTGATGATGCGGAAAAATAATATAATAATTCTTTTTAACCGAATTATATGTATCGTATGGAATAGTTTGCAAAGATGTCGACAACCGTTCAATTTAAATCAATGATCGCGCATCAGTGATCTGACTAAGCTCCGACTAAGCAAAGCGAGATTGGCGAAAAATGATTTTAGATGACTGATAATGAAGATAGTAACGCTCCATCTCTTTTTCACGGAAGTCTTCTCGCATATCGTTTTCATAAACTATCGTCGCTGTCATCGGCGTGAGGTTCGACCGAGACATTGCCGGCAAGTGGCGCGGCACTTCCTTCTCTACTAGTTTCAACATCCTGTTCCATTGAGTTACTTTGTGCTTGCTGTTCATCTATAAGAATACAATAATTTTGTGAGATTAATTATACAAATTTTGTGAAAATTAATTATACAAATCATTATGTTATCAATAAAATATATTTGTGTGATAACAATATTACGAATCATTTCACTTATATAAAATAGCAAATAATATTTGTAACATAAATGATTTTAAAGTTCTAAATAATTAAAATTCCGTATAGGTCTCACTATATCTGATAACTACATACCTGATTGTGTCGGCGGAGAGTCATCATCTCCTTGACCTGGACTCAATATAGCCTCCTTAATTTGACTATTAACACCCTTCGGATCTAAATCCGTTGCCCAACTAAAGTACATTAACGCAAGATGGGTATTGCCTAATTTTTTATGTACCTATTGCAAATATAAAGGTATATTTATATAAGAGAAGTTAAAATAAAAAAAAATTATTTGATTAACTATACTGATCTCTTACTTTTCCTATCGAATAATAGACTAGAGATTCTTTGGGTATAATATTCTTTAGCTCCTCGAATTCTCTTAGAGCTTCCATATGTCGACCAATAGAGAAGTTGATGCTCGCACGATGGAATTTGCATAAAGTATTATCCGGATCATTCATTAGTGCGGTGTTTAAAGTTTTTAACGCCTGATCGGTTTTCTTCAGGGCGTGTTGCACGACACCTATATGACACATCAACGCAGAATTCTGCGGGTTTATTTGTAAGGCTCGTTTGAAGTGTAACTCTGCTAAACTATATTGCTCCTGTTTCGAAAATATCGTTCCTAATCCGAACCTTTAATAAAAGAAATGTTTTACATACAAATTCAGACGGTAATCAAAAAGCATGAAACATTATGATACTAATAAAATTTTTTAGAACTTACCATGCATTATAATGTCTAGGATCGAGTCTGATGGCGTTACGAAAAGCAGTAATCGCTTTATCTAGTTCTTCAGTCAAAACGTATTCATGCCCTAGCAATGTATAGGCATAGGGAAAATTAGGATCCACCTAATAAGTAATCAGGGAATGGTATATTATTTTCAATAGAATAAGTCGTATAGCACTGCTAACATTCACTACAATTAAGATTAACGCATGATACCTGAATAGCTCTTTGGAAAAATTTAATCGCAGTTTCGTGTTCCGTTTGCGCCGAGAAGAGATTGCCCGTGGCGCACCATGCCGCTGCTGAATTACGGTCTTGGGAAACTAGATCTTGAGCAAGCGTAGACAACTGTACTTCTGCGTGTAGATGCCACAGAACAGTGCTGTAAATCTCCATCAATTCTGTCCTCTGTGGCTCTAACTGTCGCACTTCGGCAAAATAACTTTGCACGAAAAAAATGAAGCAAACAGAATTAAAAAAGAAGAGAATTAAAGAGAAATACAAGGTTTGTTCTTGTCGCAAGCATCTACATACTCCAACATACTACCATAGCTCTTACTCAAACACTCGAGTGAGTAGGAGCTATGGTTGGAGCATGTTGGAGTATGTCAGAGCATGCGACGCGAACAAATCTATACTGTTATTGTAGTTGGACTTCTTAACTTTTTTTTTCATTTTTTCACTCTAAAGTTTGAACGTACGTCTATTTCATTATACATGGAAGAAAGTGCCAAAATCAATATATTTCTTTAATAATAACAATTAATATAAATTTATTACCTAGCAGCCTTTTTGTAATCCATCATTTCAAAATGTGCACGAGCCAACATAGAAAGTACCCAGCCCGTATTGTAGTGTCGTGACGGCAGTATACTTAGTATATGAGCCGCGTGCGTACATTTGAACTGACTCAAGTGCTGATACGCCATTCCTAATTCTCGTAACAAAGACATCAATCCCTCTGAAACATTACAAACACAAACATTTTTTTTAAATTATGCTATAGTTGAAAGATATCAAATAATTTAATTAAATATAATTAACGTACCTGCCGATTGCTTTTGTAATGTTATACCAGAGTGAATATTATTATTTTGGGCGTTAAGAGCGTTTGCATTAGCTACAGCTTTCTCAGATGTGATCGTTTCGCTTTTCTCCTTTTCATTCCTATTCCTCTCGTTTAACTCATTAAAGTTAGTTTTGTTTAAATTCGCCTTGGCTAGTCTCGCTTTCGTTTTCCGAGATGGAGACTTTGGAGTTGCAAATTTATTCCTATTAGGTGACTTGTTGTTTTCCTGAAATGTATGTGTCAAATTGATAGTAATCGAATGTAATAGAGACCGATAGTGTAATTAAAAAACAAATGAATTAAAAAAAGGCCATGTATGATCAAGGCGGGTGTTTAATAAAATTTTTGTGTGAATTTTACAATTTCCAATTCAAAAGTACAAGAAATAAAACAAAATTGTACCTTTACGGAATTATGGCTGAAAAGACGCGACGATCGTCTAACATTGGTGCCTTGAAATGTCGGTGATGGAGGTGAAGTCGGATTAGCTGCTGTTACTGTCACAATATTGGCAGTATTGCTTGTATTACCCGATTGGGAAAATACTGATTTGCCTTGTTGCAACGGTGTTTCTTTTCTTGACATTAATTGCTAAAAGATGCAAGAAAATTAGTTACTGTACACACATTACGATACTGAAAGATTGCACTCACCCCTACATGAGCTCTTAAACTACTAACGCGTTTCGCCAAGCTCTTTTGGTCATTGGCTTCTGTGAGAGTCGTATGCGAAGGTGGAACTGTCTGCTCGGGTGTATTGTTCTCCAACGGCAAAATACCGAAGCTAGGTGTGAGTGGACTCATGGAATTACTGAACATACTGCGATAACGCGATAGTTTCGTCCTCGGCGATATTGAAGAACAATTGCTGTAGTGAATCGACGCATTTTGTGGTGACTCCTCTATAGAGGAACACAGTCGCACCTGAGGTGCCTGACCACCATTTATCAGCGTTGATGCTATCGTCACGGGTGTACTGTAATGCACAAAACAAAATGTTAAATATTAATAAACTATTAATTAAAAATAAAAATTATTATATTGTATAATTATGTATATACCTGTTAGTGCCATTTGATATAGGTGTATTGTTACCATTATTTCCAGGTACGATAAAATCTGGTTCAGTGATGTAGCTAAGCGTGGATACAGTACCATGGCACATAGCGAAAGAGTCTAATTTATCTAACTGAAAAACCTTAGCAGGATCCACTTTCTCGCCAACATTACAAAGTTCTTCAAATGAGTGCCAGAGGAAGGGATTCAATTTCAAAGCCAGCTTGTGGGCTTCATTACCTCTCGCAGTACGCATCATTTTATAGTAAATCTTTGCTATTATCTGCAAGGAAAAGCATGCCTGTTCTCCAAACTGAGTTATTATTTCTTCCAAATTTTTCAATTGTTTATAATATCCACCGATTATCGCAGCTTCTGCTTCTGCATATCTAGAAATTTTTTAAAAAATCAACACATGTTCTCATTATACAGAGCACAATGAAAAAAAACATGTTACTTACTTTTCCAAATCATAACAACATTTTGCTAGTAGAAATCTACATTGTGCCGAACTGGGTGCCTTCTGGGATAATAAGGCATAAGCTTGCCTAACCCGACCAGAACGATAGTAACATGTTGCCAAAAGAAACAAACTTTCCTCCGTGTCCACTATAATATTGATGTAATAATACATTAGTATATATAATGTATATATAAATATAATCAAATTTATTATAAAAATATAAGAATAATACAATCAATAAACAAAGTAGATGATGCTACCTTCTGCACACAACCGTTCCGCCAGGAATATAGCGTCTGGATAAGCATAATGATTTAAACAATGCCATATGGCCGCCTAAAATTAGAAAATTCAACATTTATCTTGGTAATTGATTGTGCAATAGCAATATAAATAACTAAATAAAAAAATAAAAATATTTAGAAAAAAATACTTGAACAATACACAATATATATATCTATAAGTCTTAGATTTCAATGTAATGTTAGAGAGAAGAGTAGTTCTTTATTATACATTATTACATAAATGATGCAATATGTTAATGTCACTTATAGTCCTTAAAATGTATATTTAAAAGAATTATTTTTATTATCTATATATAAAATATATTCAATTAATATTCTTTGAATTGATAAGATATATCATATATAGATTTAATTTTTATTAGATTTAATTCTAAGTGATAAGCATCTTATTATTTAGCTGATACATGCACAATATTTAAATTTATTAATATAATTTGCAAACATAACATAATAAGTTAATTTTTTTAATAATTTGGAAGATCGCAATTGATATATATAAATTCTAGAAATGCTTTCTTTCTCAGATTTAATTCTCAAGTGACCATCTATCAAAATTCTTAAGTACAGCAAAATTTCGCGATTATTTATAGCCAGGACCCTCCTTTGCTCGTTTTTTTGCGACAAGGCAAATAAACTCAAAGATACATGTTTAGAGTACCATTAAAGTCGAATAAATAACGAGGACGAAAGAGCTGTCTTTAAGAGACAATCCTGTCTTTAAGAGGCGACCATCGTGGAAGTCGTTCGACGCGATTAAAGCCGTCGAGGTGCGAACAAACACGTCCGATCGGCGAGACGTCAACGTGTGGATGCGGCCCGATGTACAAAATCTCGCATGTCACAGCGGTAACGAGGTTCAAGGAAAATCCAACACTTTTACTTTTCTCTCCTCCTTCTCCTCCTCCGTCATTCTTTTTCTCTTCCATTACCTGCACTGGCTCCTGCACGATCATCGTTCACCCTCCGCAAGCGTGATCATAAAAGAACGTCTGGCCCTCCGGGCGCGCTTCGGTGAGAATTTAACGGCGGAATATTCCGGAAGATCCGAAGTCTCGGGGACGACCAATGGTGTGTGTATAAAAATTTCTTAGGAGTCCATCTTTAGTTCGATTCTTTTGAAGTGAGCGACTGCTCACTCAGGTCGAAGGGCCGCCAACCTGGGGGGGGGGGGGGTTAGGAGTTTTCCCGTTGAATTTCTCGGCGATTGGCAATACATTTTAGTGCATTCGTTTACGCAGCGGTTAGCGTAGAAGTATTATTTTAGCCTTGTTATTCACCAAATGTTAAACAAGGATCAAATATCGCCTCGGATTCATCTCCTTTGTTATGCTGGATTCGGATTCCGATGAATTTCGCTTCGTATTATCGGAATCCTGTTTTCTGATTGGATGCAGTTCGTACGACGAAAATCGGATGCAGTGTGAATCCAGCAATACAGTCCGTAATTCGTAATCCGCACCGGATGTCCGCAAAAGCATCTAGGGATTGAGTATGTACGGTAGATATTTCTCACGTAATCCGCAACTACGTGAAAAGAGAGTTCTAGGCTGGTATTGGCTGCGTTCAGCAGAACGTTTGTTTTGCAACTGTTGGAAGTTTCCTTCGCGCTGATTGGATCATACTTTTAGATCTAGAAGAATGGTCCTATCTCAGCAGACAATCATAAAACGGTTGCAAAACTGTTGAGTCTACTGAACGCAACCATTTGGCGTTGGAACAAATCGCCTTCCATATTGGAAAATCATAGCAAAGAAAACAAGGTTGTGTTCCGATCAGTGTTGTTAGGCGAGTCACCTTTTGACGCATGCGCGTTTGGACATGGCATCAGTGCTGTATTAGGCCGGTATTCATAATCAGATCTTATATTCAAGATCGTCTTAAGTTCAGCCTTGAGGTGTCATGAACCAATTAGAGAGCCGCGTTAGCGTATTAAGACAATGGCTGCGTTCAGCAGACTCAACAGTTTTGCAACCGTTTTATGATTGTCTGCTGAGATAGGACCATTCTTCTAGATCTAAAAGTATGATCCAATTAGCGCTAAGGAAACTTACAAGGGTGCGTTCCAAAACTCGACTCTATCAACTCCGAGTACCTTTTATCTTTGTTCAACATTCGATGAAGAACAAGGATAAATGATACTCGGAGTTGATAGAGTCGAGTTTTGGAACGCACCCCAACAGTTGCAAAACGAACGTTCTGCTGAACGCAGCCAAGGGCTGCGTTCAGCAGACTCAACAGTTTTGCAACCGTTTTATGATTGTCTGCT